TTAGATACTTTGCAACAGTAGCATAGATAATTTCTACCTGCTATTTTGTAATATTACTGCAGACCTTGTTCTATTCAAATACTATGTTTTGAATTCTCTTGCAAGGTTTATATTTTTTTTTTTCCTTTCCTTTTTTCCCTTTATTATCTTTTTTCCCTTTCTTTTTTTAACCTTTTGTTCCCCTTTGCTTTTAACCCCTTTTCTACCCTTTTCCCTTTCTTTGTTGGTAGTCAAGTGCATTGTCTTTAGTAGCAAGTTTCTTAGTATTTCTTAAAGTATGATTGATTTCCTCTGGAATCAACAGTATTGTGAGTAAAATGGTAGCAAAATAGTGCAGTGTAAATTTGATTATAAACTAAAACCTTCATTAAATACAGCTGAGAAAATTACAGTGTGCGTTCACTAAATGATGGCAGTGACCTGAGTAAATTTCACCTGACTGTAATCAGTTATCTGCTGGAACAACATTTTTCTATTATTTTTTAGCAAATGGAGGATGTAAATTATATATTATATATATATCCAACTCAAAAGGTAACTTAACTGTCTCAGAATATGTGTGTGTTGTCTTCAGTTAATTTCATTTGGCTGTTTGGTGAACTTGTGATTTGTTTGAGTACAGAGAAACAAAAGCTGGTGATGAGAGAAAGACAGTTGGCAAAACCTAGATGTGCTGTCTTGTTCTTTGTAAAGTCATAGGCTAGCAGAACTACGTTAGACTGTAAAAATAAGTTTTACTGCTGCTATACGTAGATCCTTAAAGCACTGAATACCTCACTTTGCCTGCTGTGGAAACGAAAAAGCTCACCTGCAAGGACATTTTACTTCCTAGTCCTCCTGTGCAACCCTGTCTATCCGGACCAATAGGAAAACTTGTTCCTTATTGTTTGCCTCTCTTCTTTCATGTCAAGGTTCATTTGCCAGTTCTAAAATCTGCCATAGCGCTGATGGGCCTTGCAAAATCCCAAGCAATATGAATAAACAAAAATAAGTCCTTAATATTGAAGAAAAAGGTACAATACAGTAATAGCTGATTGACAGGACAAATGTTTCTAGACCTGTATCGCTCCTTTTTTACTTGTACTGCCACCACCTGTGGTTTTATCACCCGCAGAGGTGATTCCTTGCTGACTGCATCCTCCTCTGTGGCTTCCATGTATTTCTGCCAGCCCCTGAACAGCAAAAGGCTATTTCATGCAGAAGCCATGCCTTGGTAAGGCATAAGTTAGGGTGTCTTAGAAAAGCTGAATGTAAATCAGGTTTAATTAGAAACACGTTTCCTACGCCACCAGAAGAACTCATACAGTCAAATGTACGAAGTCCATTCAGTGATGTCGCAGAACGATACATTTGCAGTTGTTTGGGAGCAAGGAAGTATTGCTAGAAGTAATGATAAACCAGAACGTTCTCTTCTACTGCCTACTTGCTGGAGATATATGCCATTTATTTCTGAATTAAGCTTCATTTTCCTATTGGTTTTCCAGGTCACCTTTAAAAGTTCATTTTGTAGTGTGATGAACTGTCAAAGGTTATTATTTCAAAGTCTGTATCAAGAAGTTGCATATGCTAACTTTAATATGTAGTGTGACAAAGATGAAACAGGTTTACTATGCATATGACAGAGAAGATTTGTAATAACAGCCAAGTTAAATTTGAAATTAAAGGAGGAGAAGAATTCCAAGAAAATTAAATTAAGCTGTTTACAAAAATAAAATATTATCTATATATATCATAAGAGAGACTTCAAGTGATTGATTACACAAGTGTTAATTCATTTTTAAGATAGTGTACTATTGCTGCTTAGGTTAAAAACAGATCAGCTAAATTATACGGGTTCCTGCATTGATTCGTGTCACTGCACAGTTACAAAAAATCCAGTGTATTTAAAATATTTATTATAGAAATATTTTGTTGTTCACTTTTAAATATCTCTTTGATTTTTTCCTTGAAAAATAAATTTAATATTTCACTTGGAGGAAGAGGCAATTTGTATGTAAAATGCAGTCATGAATTATTTATGAAGCCTTAAAATAATTTTACTGGTTTTTGATCAACCACTTTGCTGGAGAAAAAATATTATACACTGGGTGTTGGTCAGCACGAGGAAGAAGATCCTGATTATATTCTGGATTGCAACAGAAATATTTTCTAATGAATTTTTGCTGTCCTTACAGATGAAGCACAGCGCTTTTTTGAGGAGGAGAGTTGATTGTATTTGTATTAGGTAAATAAAAAGGCGTGACTCCCCAGAGAGCCAAAAGTATCTATTATTTCTGTTTAGAGGCTTTGATTTTATTTTTATGGTGATTTCATACAGAATAATAATTAGACTTCAAGACGCCACTTTTGAGAGACAAATCACAGGCATTTCCTCAGAAAAGAATTAGTTCTGTTTGTAACACACCTTTCATTACAGTATTTGCTTTCAGAAAAATATTTTGCCTAAAAGACTTAGTGCCTTGTGTAACTTCTTTTTTTAAGCTATGTTATAAAGTAACGTGCTTTGCTGTTTAAAATTATTGTAATTATTAATCTCAGTGAATGGAAGTTTTGATCACTGACTTCAGGTTGCTTCTAAGTAGATACAAAGGTAGCACGCAGGGAATCAAATCGTCTCCGTAGATGATTTAAGATGCTGCTGTTCTAACCGGATACAGTGGGAATGCAACATTGAACATGAGCAGCATGGCACTGCATTGTGAATCTCACCAAGCGAGGCAGCTGGATAGCACTCTCCTGCAGCGTTGCCTGTATTTGAGGGAGCACGGTTTCAGAAACAGCAGCCGTCATGGGGTTACCCTGTAATGGGACAAAAGGTCCCTTCACCATCTGATTCCTTAAACAGTCAGGGCTATGAAGATCCTAAATGGTTTCTTGGTTATTACTATTATTTTTTAAATACTAGTCTACAAAAGTGCTTGTCATAATTAAGGTTACTTCGTTTTCATCTGTGGATAAAGCATGTCAAAGGTTTTCTAAAAAACAACTGAAAACAGGTTTTGTGCATGTGAATGCGTAGTAAGTTATATGGCATTTTACATGCCCGTAAGCACTGATTTAGCTTTATGAGATCACTGATGCTGGTAAACGTGCCCTTTTCACAGAAGATAATCGAAGACTAATTGTGAAATAGGCCCTTTAGTCAGGAAGGGAGATGAGGTGGTTAATTGATGCAGAAACATAAAGAACAGCATAACTTTAGGAGCATAGACACCAAATTAAAAACTGATTATGAAGTCCTGCAATTTAGTCCCAGTAATATAAACCTTCGTGTTTATTGCTAAGTCAATCTGCAATATATGGAGAGAAAAAAAATGTTTGTTCACCTTATTTATGGCCAAATTTAAATGTTAAAATACTGGAATTCTTTGTCAAGTCTCATGTTTCATGGGCCTTTCTTGGCATTAATATTAAAATATGTAAACAGAATACATAATAGGTGAAGAAAAATCTGAAGCTTGTAAAAAGGTTTAGACACATACCAGTTAATCAAACTGACTCTGTAGTCAGACAAGGAAAGATCCCAAAAGCATATTGCATGGTTATTAAATTGTAGAGCACGAGTAATCATCTCTGTTAAAAAAAAACCCCACATGTTCATTCAGTGCATCATTGCTTTCTTAAGCACATGGGAAACTGTCATCTTTTTTCATGGGATCTGTCTTGATTATTGTCAGACTCGAGTGAATTTTTGTCTTTTGTATCTAATGGTTCTGCAAAGTTGTTCTAGATGAATATCTTGCATCGTGAATTGTTGAATATATGATCTTGCATCCCATCTTCCATTTTCAGACTCCAGTCAATCTTACTTTACTTACTAAATCTCAGCTTTACTTCCCTGAAATACTGTGTGCAGTTCTGCATGTCTGTATCGAAGACATCTATTGGGAGTGGAACAAATGCAGACAAAGACTTCTAAGGTCACCAGAGGAACAAGGGACGTGAGACATCACTAGAAAATCCTGTTTAGCCTAAACATCTTGAAACTTGCCTGTAAAGACAGGCAGAAATAGAGTACGGGAAAGACATTTAAGCCGAATATGAATACTGGTGAGGAACTATGAATATATTTTGGTTAGGTTACCTTTTCCAAGGCTGCCTCCTTGTCTCCTTCTTCCCGTACCACTGTTGTGCAGCTACTGTTTACGTGGGTACGTAAAGAACCACATCAGGAAGCTCATTCGAGCAAGGAATCCTGTCCATTTGCTCCTCCCAACCTGGATGAGCATTCTGTTCGAATTTGCTGTGTTAGCATAACAGAATGAGTAGTGAAAACCTAACTGCTGAAAAAGGTGCTGGATTATCTTACACAAGTGATACCCCAGGTTCTTCCAGTCCTTGAGATATGAACCATTAATATTAAGGTCCATGATTTCATTCCGTCTTGTTGAAGTGATGCAGATCTTCACTCAAAAATGGTAGCTGAACTGCCCCAAATGTACACTATTTTAGCTATTAAATTTGCCAATCTACATACTTCTGATTATTGGTAATTTTTTTTAAGCAAAGTCACTGTAATTGTTACCATGTGTAGTCTGG